CGTCCACGCCCCCTAGCACCGGCTTAAGCAGTAGTCAACATTTAATATGACCTGGTAAAATTTGGAATTTTGAAACATCCGCAGATGTGTTCATATGGCAGTTATCATGGAAACTTCAATGTGACACGTTAGGAAAAGCGGCATATGGTAAAAAATGAGTTTCCCTAAACGCGAAAACAATGGGCGGAACTTAATAAAATGGAATTTTGAATGGAAATCAGAGGTTATGAAGTCTGGCTATACCTCAATGCATTAAACAAGGAAAAAGTTTAAAACAAATACTCTATTCCTCCCTTTTAACAATTATGTCTATTCATAATCACATATATCAATATATTATAAGGTCTGATATGACATTTTTTGTTCGTTCTTAACATAGTGTCAATAAAATGCTGCAGTAGAAAAGAATACTTGCAAATAAAATGAGGGAATAATTATGCAATGAATATTTTATATAAAATTATCCTATCTAAATATTTCTATTAAAGTTCAATGAATTTAAGATGTGTTAGGCTCAAATTTGATATTTGAAAGTATTGATAATTGCTACACAATTTATTTGTAAAGGTCAAATTAACATGTTTTGACAAAACACGGAGTATATGTATAATGTTTTGAACTCTACACACTACAGGTAGACACAGTATGAATACATAGTGTAATTAAAACACTAGAAGTTTTTTTTAAGAATTTGCCTATACTTCGCTTGACAAGTAATTGGGACTGCAGTTTCAAATACATGCACAGTTTGTGCAATCTATTATTAAAATGAGACATAATCAGTAAGAATTTCATAGATTTCAATAAATTTCTGCAATGAAAATATTTTACTAAAAGATGAGCCAAGTATATCTTTAAGATTAAATATTTAGATACATCTGCTACAATATGATCATACCTGATCACGGTTTTAATTTAAAACCGAGGTCTCACCGTCTTGTGTATGCGCAACTTATTTGAAAGTGAATAATATTGCGTTTTATCACGAAACATATCTAATGTACAAATAACCATATATCATACTACAAAGTTACGCAAGGGCAATTTTCCCATTCAATTTTAACAAATGCATTAAATATAAGTGATTTCGCACATAAATCCCTAAAAACATTTGCAAATGTTACTTTTTTATTGATATAATTTTACTATTTATATGTTCCGCTTCTTTAATTTTAACTTTATTTGAATTTGTAGACACAGTTTAAGCGATTGTTATTATTCAAAAAGGTTTTTAATCATTATGAAATGTAGTACGCTCATTTATTGCACACTAATGAGGATATATAATGTTGGTTTTGAGTGTATTTTAGTTAAAGAGATTTTACTGAGATATCTTATTCCCGTTTTTATGGTATTTTTGCTGACACAAATTTCGTAGACTGGGAAAAGGATTGATGTAGAGCATTGACTTTCATAATAAAATGCGCTCAAGTATGGTGTCTTCATGTATATTTTTCTGCCGGTGTTTGATGCATGGGTATTTCCCCTATGTATTCTTAGTGGAGGAAACTATGTTAATTCTGCTGTAATTGATAACAAAAATATATTTCAGTCAAACTTATTTCGCTCGAACCCAGAGCGACTTGCAAATTTGTTCGAGAGATCGGTAGCTATAAAACCAACCGCAGTTGAGTTTTTAAAACTTTTTATCATATTGTCGTACTTTTTGGAAACATAGGTTTGAAGAAATTATCCTGGTTTTATACACATACTTAACCGCCTCTGTGGTCGAGGGGATAGAGTCGATGACTTCTAATTCAGTTACCTCTCTGACGTGGGTTCGATCCCCGGGAGATGCTTTGGTAGTTTAGCGCGGAGGAAGGTAGTCTAGTACTGGTGTAACTCTCAAGGAACGATGGTTAGGAAACTACCCGCCTATATGACTGAAATACTGTTGAAAAAGGCGTAAAATGAAACAAACAAACAAACAAACAAACAAATATACATATACTTGTTGATTATGGTATAAAATATGATACAAATTACTTAGATAAGCGATGCACATCTATATATTATCTGCTTAAGAAAGATGGTTGAGAACAACGTGTTAGTTTTAAGACAGTTTAGGCCATGATACTGTCGCTGATTCAGTCTTGACCTATCACCTGTTTATCCTTTGCAGACACTCAAGACCAACATTTTATCCACATTTTTGTGCAAAAGATGAGCGTATTATATTTCATAAGTATTTACAACCTTACTGTATAATAGAAAATGCTATTTAACAACATGCCGTGATTTAGCACAAGAACATATTGGCAGTAACAAAAGTTATCATAAGAACTCCAGAACATATTTTGAGTTACCACAAGAACTCCAGAACATTTAAATTTGTTAGCCGGGGCTTTATGTTTGCAATTTTGCATTATAATTAGGTAATTATTTATGGCAAGGATGAAGACTAGAAATAAACAGGTCAATACTTGCGAATAGGCAAATAATATGGAAATTTTACTCAAAACCACCAGATTTTAAGCAAGAGGCGATAAAAAAATGGACTATGAATTAGATTTTGACACATAATACAATATGTAAGGCAAGCTTAATCATGAAAGTTTAATTTAGCACCTAAAACTCACTTTTTAAAGATGAAAATTACCATTTGAAACGAGTGTTTTTGCAGTATATACAATAGTTTTCCGACGAACTCCGAGACACTTATCACAAGAACTCCCTCGCCCCATGTAATTACCAATATTCAAATTTATTGCCTCAGTGAATGTTCATTTCGCACGTTATATAGCTTATAATTTACGTCTATAAACTGGAATATCTTATAAAATTCTATATCAACGCTATACTTGATATTTTATAAGTCACATGTGAGCAAAAGGAAGACTTCTGAACTTGTAAATAGAAATTATATACAAAATCTGACTATCAAACCATCATAATGATTATTTTTATAGTAAATATAATAAGTTTCTAATAATGTATGTCTACAAACTGCAATTTAATTGTAAAATTCTATTAAAACGTTATAATTCATATTTTTAAAGTCACTTTCCTTCACTTTTGCTTACTTTTGTCAAAAAAAGTCACTTTCGTATTTTTGGCGAACCCAAGGGAAACAGGCTGTGAAGAGTCTACTTTTTAACTTTCACCGGTAGAAGGGCGATATCCGATACGATATTATCTCAAATGTCGCTTCGCATTGTCGAGCGTCGTTTGAGATTGTCGCATGTCGTTGGAAAATGCCGCGCGTCGACTCTCAAACAAAACCGCGACACGCGACATACGATATGACATTTTGAAAATGTCGATTCGCATTGTCGAGAATCGTTTAAGATTGTCGCGTGTCGTTTGATAATGGCGCCGTCGCTTTTGTTTGTTTGTTTGTTTGTTTGTTACATTTAACGCCTTTTCCCAACAGTATTTTAGTCTTGTATCATAGTTTGCGGACCTTTTTGTTGAAAATGTGTCAGAGTTAAATCGTATACATATACATGCACAGTGCGTTAACTGGAGTGCAGGTATTATAGTTACCCGCACTCCAGAGCATGTCCATTGATTTGCTCATTTTTGCTGGGGTTTACATATTGTGACAACAGGGAACGTGTTTTTATGTTGACTATGTATACAAAAGAGAAAGAACATTAAAACACTCGGCAATCTGATTAATAGTCGAGGGCTACGCCCCCTCGTACAAATCAGATAGCCTCGTGTTTCGATGCTCTTTCTATTACATATTGGCGGGTAGTTTCCTAACCATCGTTCCTTGAGAGTTACATCGTGCTTTTATAGGCGACATTCTAAAGTGGATATCGCGACATCGTCGTTTGAGATTATCGCCGTCGTTTGCGATTGTTGGGTGTCGCTTCGATATATCGCCATGTCATTTCGCGTTGTCGTGTGTCGACTATGCAAACGTGACGGCGACATTATGAATGGCCCCAACAGGATTCCGTAGTAAGATCCCTTACAAAGTATATATCGGTTGCCAACACGGTTTGGTTCAATGAAATTGCCAACTGACGTGTTCCAACGCAAATGTCATCGTTAACAATATTTATATTAATGTTTATTTGATAATAAAGAACGTTGTCGTAATATATCATATGTATATGATAACGGTGTTATTATTGAAAAAATACAAAGCAGACATTAATGAAGTGTAGTAGATGAAAGGCAATCACTTGATGTTCTAGTAAGGAGACAAATAGACATAACGCTTACTCTCAGTTTTAATTCAAATACCATATCTGAATGTTTTGAACTCGTTGTATATATAGAGGATATAGAATGACTTAACTTATTGAGTTGAATTTAATCATATTATGTGAGCCTCTTGCGAGCATATCATTGTTTCATTCAACGGTTTCAATAATGTTAGTATTGAGTCTACAAAAATATAGTATTCTATTAATCATATATCTAAATTAAAAAAAGATTTATATTTATCGTTCAAATGCTCTGTAATTAATCACTCAGTCCTGTTCTGAATATGTTTCTGCGCATTTGAACCCGAACAATGCATTATTCGATAACAATGCACTCAAAATTAATATCTATTTCGTAAACATTGTCTTATTTCAGAACAATTTAATCATATAATGTCCCTCCAGGGCTTTCATACATATACCTTTAATCTTATCAGAAAAAGTTTAAAAATATAAAGTTTGATGGAAAAAAAGCTTAATAAAGATATATATTTTGAGAAATAAAGGGACCATACTAATATACAGGGAGGAAACATGTTATTAAATTCATACAATGTATTTAAACTTATATACACGTATCAGGATTTTGCATGTGAATATTTAAAGCGTGACAAAACCGGATTCTTTAAGCTTCAAAAAAAATATCAGGAAACAGAATGGCATAAACAAATACAATACTTGTGTTGTTTGGGGCTTTAAACGTTTGATATTAGCATATAAATAAATAAAGCGACATGAAAATAAAAAAAAAAGATGAATGATAAAATATGTAAGATTATTAAATCAGGTCACGCGTAACGTACGTTGCTCCCCGTCTTGAAAGGAAGCCAGTTTAAATCGCACAGTATTACATATTGAATTGGACTTTCTTTGTGCAATGGGAACGTTAATGATTATAATATATATTATTTTAGCCCTTGGTGGTTTGCTCTTTTTTATAAAAAGAAAAATACCTAAAGGAAAAATAATTGCAGGTCCAAAAGGTTTACCAGTGCTTGGATGTATTCATGAAATTGACAATGAAACTATTCATTTTAAATTTTCGGAATGGGCCGAGAAATTTGGTGACATATTTCGTGTTAAGATGTTTTCGGACAACTTTATTGTTTTGAACACGGAAGAAAATATTAGGAAAGCGTTTGGCAGTGAAAAGTATAAAAATCATTTCGGAGATCGAGTTGAGATGTTCTGGGGCGAGCACTTCCGGTGCCACAATCAATCGTTAGCCTTTGTTTCAGATGGATCTGGACTTTTCCATCGGATAGCCAGGAAAAGTTACATGCAAGCTTTACATACCTATGGAAGCGGACTTCAAGAGCTAGAAAATAACGTCATGACGGAAATGTCTAATCTTATTGAAAGAATTGAGAAAAGATCGGGAAAAGAGTTCGAGTGTGTTTCCATGCTACAACGTTCGTTGTCAAATGTCATGTCCCTTGTAGTATGTATATATATTTTTAATCCTTTTTTTTGGCTCAGCAAAGTAAGCAAAATAATGTGCATTTATTATTAAAAATAATAATCTTCTTACTTAATCTTTATGGCAAATGTCTTTGTTATTGACCGTTAGTGGTACTTAATGGAACTCCGCTGAGGCCCGAAAAAATGGAACTCCACTGAGGCCCGAAAACCCTAAAAACATAAATTTGAATTCATTGCATACATCAAACCACTGCGGAACTTCAAACGAAAATGGATGCAAAAGATGCTAAAGAAATGTTTTCAAAATTATACTTGAAACCGTAATTTTGTGTGATTCGAAGATCGATCGTTTAAAACGCTTTTCATTTTTGGGTTAATTTTACAACTGAAATATCTTTTCTTGAAAAAAGGAGTGACCAGACTTTCATCATGGTATATAAATCTCGCCAAAAAGAATCTAGTCTCGTCATGTCAAAAATCCTCAGCGGAGCCCCTTTAATGTGTCGAAAGGGTCGTGTGAAATAGGACTGCCTTACTTTTCGATACTTAAGGTTTAAACAAACACTGATAACATACATTACGATAATAAATAAAAACACTTCGTTTCAAATGTAGTAGGTTAAGTTTAAAGTTTGGAGATGCAGTCCGAACCTGAAATTTCGCTGCGCATCTCAGCGATGCCACGAAATTCAACATGATAAACAATGACAAATTTAATTCAGGGTTGGGGGTGGACAGACAAATGCGGAAGTTTCATTCTGCAAGAACTTGTTGTGGGCTTGAAAACAGTCAGTCTGAGTACATTGTTCCATTGTTAAAAGTTCGTTGTTACCAACATCTGCTGATATTCAAACTTCGAAAACCTTGGTAGCAAAATTTACGAATTGCTCTTCACCTTAACAAAATCTTATGCTTTTCATTTGATATAAAAATCTTTGAAAAATATCGAGTTTACCATGTGATTATTTTACCTTCAATCTACAATACTGTCGGTAGTGATGCATTACATTGTATTTTACAGTTGCGAGGAGAGTTGATTCCGGACTCTGATCCAGATAGCAACATGTTTTGGGATCATGTTCACGCAAACGATTTCTTTCTGACTTCGTACGTTAATTTTGTGATGTCCACGTTCCCTTTCCTTCGCTTTCTACCAGGAAAATATGGTGATGAGTTTAGAAAAGGAAAAAAGGCGAACGCTAAAATAGCACAAAAATATTTCTATGACATGAAGGTTGGTGCTTTACTAATTATTACATTTTTAACGAAAATAAGGTACTCCGAATGTAAACTTGAAGGTTATATCTGGGCCACCCATGAGGAAATCAACATAGTGCAGAAAAAGACGTCACCGAGAACACGTTATTCAAAATAATTTAACGCATACACAATGCTTACTTGCAATGTGCAGTTAATGGGCGTCATCTCACTAAATATATATTTTGTGAAAACATATCCACCGCATCAATGTATAAAAAAGAAAAAAAATAAGCCGATTTTGCTATAAGAGAAATATGACAAAATGACGAGGAACAATTGATTATATTTGAGGCCAACTTTTAAAGCAGATAAAAGCAACACTTGTAGGAGTTTTTGAAAGCACCTTTCATGTACTCATTTAAGGCCGAAAAAATACGATCGTTTATAAAGGTTACACATTAAACTTATATTCAGAACTGACTATATATTAACAATTTTGTAATATCACCGTGTGATTTAATGAGTAAGTGTCATTATAAGACCTTGATCTGGACATGTATTTGAGTTCACTTTGCTAGACTATGGACATTATGCCAGCAACGTCATTACAGACAATATGGACTTAAATTCTCAATGTCGGATCGTATATGTTGAACATAAGATATCAATATGTATATAATTGTGGTATTCAGTTTTGAATGTTTGGTATTTATGTTTTGTCTGTTCAACACTGATAACTTTATTTTTGTGTTCGATAATAACAAAACTTAATGTTTCCTTCATTTACAAGAGCTGTCACTGAAAAGTGACTTATGCCCCCGAAAGGAAGCTTTGACAAAAAATCCGAAATATATGCCAAAATACCGTTAATATACCCCAACCACCTTTGATAAATATCAATAGAAGCGCCAGTAAAATGGATATGTGGATCAACTCACAAGAGTATAATCAAATACGTAATTTATTATTGACAAATGGGGTAGAGCAGATAAGGGAAGGAAAACACATTATTTAGTCCACAACAGACGAAGTTCCGAATATGTATACATATTACACAGTGTGGCTCTACCATTTGTCTTTTCCTCCAAAAAAGAAAACAATCATAGGGTAGACTGTGCTTAGGTTTTTGGGGATTTTTATGCCCCGAAATGCACAAATCACTCTAGTACAGAACATAGCCAACTTCTTAGGTAGGCACCGCTTACGATTCGGGCGAGTAGATGCATTGGACTCCGCAAAATATGAAACATCAGTATCGCTTCCGAATCAGGGTAATTGTCAGTATTTCCCTCCTTAGAATCATTCATCACCAATTCTGGATCATAGTCATTTGAACTAATAAAAGGTTTTGGAAATGGAATCGATATTTCCAACGGGATATCTGTGGTGACGGGCGGAACGTGAAGCATCTCTTGCTTATTACTTTCGCTCTCTTCGTCAGAAACGAACTCAATGGGGGGTTCTTTCGTAGTAGAAGTTTAAAAGGTGTCGTTACTTTGAAGCAATCGGAACACTCAACACGATAGGAATTGTCCCTGTACTGGTTACCTATAAACTTTACGAATATTACACCATGGTCACTCCAAGGCCACTACAATGTTTCTCGAGCATTTGTTTTGTTACTTTCGCGAAATTCATGGGAGTTAGTATTTGATGAGGCGACGAGTTTGCTCGAAGAATTTTAACCTCCTGTATAGCCTTCTCAGCGACCGGGTTTTTGTTGAGATTTTTGGCACGTCCCAACTCTTTTAATATACGGTGTCGAGCTAACAACTGGTCATCTACCAATACTTTGAAGCCTGGAGCTAGATCAGTTCTAATCACAGAGTACGGACCATCAAGCGGATGAACCTCTGCCAATAATTGTATGATAGCGTCACGTACGTAGGTCATGATGACGCTCATATAGCAACTTTGTGTATGTAAACGAGGTAACACATTCTCGAACTACTAAAACAAGTTGACCTTCCCGCTTCATTACATCGACGGCAAAGCTAATCTAACGGTTACCGGTGGATCCTCGGAGCTTTGCCCCCATCGCGCACTTTAGGTGCCTTTGCCAAAGATGCACACTGATGGCTATCTTAAGTGACCATGTCAATTGATTTGTCCATATCCAAAACATAAAAGTATCTCTTTACGACGGATTTTAACTGGCTGACGGAAGGGTGTCCCAACTTTATATGTATAGAAGTCAAAAGTCCATCGAGAACTTGTTGGGGAACAACAATACATTTATGACTTGGCATAAACGGCAGGTTGTGCCTTGGCGAAGATGCGCAACAGTACGACAGTGATTGAATGGACAACCAATCAGATCTACTGGTAAACGGACATTTTACGGTTCCATTAAGGACATCCTACGTAGTATTATGACACACTACAGATTCTTCCTGATGACTTATAAACGAAAAAATTTGACAGCTTTGGTTCGAACATTCGGGTGAATTTCGGCTAGCGAAATTCGATGGTAAGATTTCTGCTCAAGAAACATGGCGAATTGAAGTCTGAAAGCGATTTGCGGTAGATAGAAATGTAGAGACACGTGGACTTGATGAAAACTCCCCTCTGCAAAGCTTTTCAAAGGCTTTAACGCATGGCTAACTGTCGGTAGGTATGCTTGTAGATGTGGACGATTGGATAATGTAGAGACTAAAGTGTTATTGAGGCAGCGATTGATACAATGTAAGGCCTCAAGTTCACATGGTTACCAACAAATCTGGTTCTGACGGAGTCTTGCGCTAAAGAAACCAGTAACATGAAGCTTATCTTCCTGTTAACATAGGAATACGAAGACGACTTTCACGGATATTCCCATGATTCCATATCCATTCGAGAATTGGTGCCTGTTTAGGTGCGATAATAATGTTAGTAGCTGATAAATTGAGGCTTCATGAATGAAGCGCTTCCAAAACACGTTCGAAATTTATGAGAAGCTCTTCTGGTGTATTTTCGTCACAATACAAATCATCTGCGATTTTAGCGATAGTACCATCTTGAACTAGGTGTCCGTACATTCTGCACGTGAGTTGTTCAAGTGCTGTTTCAGAACCAGGCATTCCAATTGCTGAACGTTCATAAACCCGTACACCACGGGACGGAGTTGATACACCACAGCACTTCACGAGTCGTTTGACAGTTTGGTAAAAGGATTAAGTCAAGTCAGTAATAATTATATACTTCCAATGCGCAAATTGCCTGGAAGTTGAATCGACATCAGGCATCAATGACGGTTGAATTTTATTATATGTACCAACATCTGCAAAGGTTGTGACAAGTCGAAAAGTACCATTCGGTTTCTTTACTCAACTAATTCTCAACTCCTCGGGGCGTTTGAAAATTGCATATTTTGGTAATCGTCCTTTGCGCTGAGGAGGCTGCACGGGACCCATATTCACTTTCGCTTCCAATGGACCCTCGCAACCACTGTCAACTATTAGACGAATCAGAATATGGCAACACTAAGTATCAAGATAAGGAGACTGTCGAACTTGATCACGGTTATGTAGTATCATAGTAGATACCGGCACTTGTTGAAACTTTTTTCTCGGGATCGTATAAGTTAGAATCATATCATAGAGTAATATCATCAATACATGTAGCGCGAGCCATTGTCAAAAATTGTCGGTCTTGTTGCGGCAAATATGTACACTTACTAAGGAAGTGGCGATCAGGACGTCCTGCGGCTTTGTAAAGCGGACACGATTTCTGGTTGGGTTAAGACCAAAATGGTCTTGACTTTTGCTTTTGTCGTGGAACAACGAAAACGCTGTTCTTATGGCCTTGGCATCCTCTGTTGAACGCAACTCTTCTAAAAGTGAGTCCAGTACTTGCGAAATTTTATACAGGCTTATGTTCTTGCTCGTAACCCCATATCCTGACGTAACAAGCTATCTTCGATAAATGCAGTGAGTCTTTGGAACAAATCTTCGCGTCTCTCTGTAGGATCATATCGGATAGAATCAAAGTCAATAAAATACGTATTCAATAAAATACGTATGAACCATTTAAGGGCCATGACTGTGCCAAAAAAAATTCAAGTGGAAAATAAATATACTATGCACAACTAGGCATGGTGACAAACAATCCTGTGAAGTTTCACTGAATCTTCCCAAGCGGTTTTGGAAATGAAGCAGCTTATTTTACTCAAAAATTGACCATTTTGGGGTCATAACTGAGCAAAATAAATTCAAGCGGATACTCAAGATACTATGCACGCCTAGGCATGGTGATAAACAATCCTGTGAAGTTTCACTGAAATCCTTAAGCAGTTTTGGAGCTGAAGCTCGGACAAGCTTAATTTACTCAAAAAATTTAGGGGCCTTAATTGTGCAAAAAATCAAGCAGAAAATAAAAATACAATGCACAACAAGGCATTGACATAAAATCCTTTGAAGTTTTGCTGAAATTCCCCTTGCGGTTTTGGAGATGAAGCGCGGACAAGATTATCGGACGGACGGACGGACAGTGCGATAACTATATGCCGCACTTCGAAGGCAACACAGATTGAATTATAACATCAATTTCTAGATTTTTTTTAAATGGGGACATTATAAGAGAATCTTGTATTTGGTAAGATTGGATTTTTATAGGTCACGGTCTCACAAGGCGCGAAAAATTGTTCAGTCCGTTTTAGTCAATTCCATGAAAGTCATATCCATGGTCTGATAGTATTATTTCAGCAACGTCATTATGGATCATACTCTTCAGCAATATGGATATATAGATTTCCTTTTTGTCGGGTCGTATACCCGAATGTGATTTTTATATTTCATTCGTTATGTATTTCAAACACGCATAACCTTAGTCCTACTTTACTTGCAATTCATGTTTTTTTTTTACAGCAGATGAAAATTCCCACGCATGAATAAAGCGTTCATGCGTACGTTTCCAATCTTCTACATCGCTCATTACAAATAATTTGCTTTTGAACGGTTAAATTTTCCCATTAGATTAGATCAGATCTCGAATGCCTACACACTTTTTTTAAAAATCCTACATTGTATTATATTACACTACCTACGAGAAATGATCCAGAAATACACAGAATTTAGCTTTAAACTTAACAAGAAGTACATGTATCTTTAAAAAGATGCCAGGACGAGGTTAAACTGTTTTTACTTGCATGCACATGTTTTCTTCCGGTATTACAGACGCTGTCTCGTAGTCTCGTCATTTTAGATTGTCATTTTTAACTTCTTGTGTTGAATAAGTCATATTCCCGAGAAAAATAATGATTTTTTTAAGCAGTGTTAAATAGTTATTGGGAGGAAATTCAAAGGTTTCAAATATCCGTGAAATTGAACTGAAAAGCTTGTTTCCGAAATTCCTTTAGATTATTTGATAATTTGGACGTGTATACGTTTCAGAAAGATCCTTAAGATTAAAATACTAATTTTAGAATGGCCAACGAGTTTCCCTGATTTAAGTTTGTAATTTTAAAATGACCAATGAAAAAATCCTTCTAATATTCACTTTCCCGTGTTAATCTTACAGAAAGTCAAACCGATCTCAGACGGGCTTTGTCCGAATAATATTATAAAGCTTAAATGAACGTAACCTTTTTCGGACAAAGTCCCTCTGAAAACGGTTTGACTTCATGTAGAATTTACAGGGATGCTGAATATAAGTTCGATTTCCATTGGTTATTTCAAACTCCAGGAATCTCATTGGCCATTCTAAAATTGGTAAAATATTGGCCCGATTAAGTTTATTAGAATTTTTTCATTTGATGCAGTCTCACCTAAATTCTCAATATTTTGGAAGTTTGAACTTTAATTTTTTATATATAATTAAATTCATGTCTGCGATTTTTACACAACTTTCCCTAGTCTGGATTCTTTCTCTGTATTTAGAAAACGTACAAGCCGGGCCAAATGCGAGGTCTTGTGGATCATTTCCTTGAAGTACAGGAGAAGCAAATGCACTCAGACACAGGGTTATTCTTCACTGATGAGAGAATTATTGCTCAACTTGTGGAGACTATAGATGCAGGTTATACAAAGTTTAAAACATTTTATTTTTACCATTTTGTAGATAGAAATACTTAAGAATTGAATTAGATGTTTGAACAAGTATATTTCTTGTTAAAAATGTTCCTCCTACGTCTTAATATCTTTTAGTTTTATTCGAGTGTATGACCTTAATGAATATATATTATCAATTAGACACAATCTGTTACTTTTAAAATTGGTCATTTTTTAAATATACCGTAAATTGACTGATCAATATTTAAGTTAGCAAATAATTTTAAATTGAGAAAATATTATTAAATACCACCTACTCGCATAATATGAAAAAATATTCAAAGGTCTGACAAACAAGAGGACGGATTTATGCGCCGAAATATGCGGTCCTGTTCTCGAGTTCCTGTGCATCAACGGACTTGTTCTGGAATGCGGGTAACTAATACCTGCACTCTTGTTAACGCAGTTTGCATGTATATGTATGTATACGATTAAACTCCGACACATTTTTCATCAGGATGGTCCCCAACCTTCGATACATTTATGTATATCATTTTATAAAACTGTCAAGTACGAGTTCGTTTATATAGGTGGGTTTAAGCAATAGAACATGATATATTTCCACAACGATCGTGAGGTATCGTTTAATAAAGACAGGAGTATGAAATTTCATTGTGAAGTTGACTGAGATATCGGTCACCAGGAGGGGTGAAATTTAAATGGAGCACAGACACATGTTTTATTACGCAAACTTAATAGTATCTACGAAAGCCTAAAAGGGTAGTATCAATTGAAATATATAAGAAACAGTATTGGAAAGGCGTTATAACGCGAATTAAAAGCTGTTATAACGCAAACCAAAAGGCGTTATATAACGCGAAACAAAAGGCTTATAACGCAAACCAAAAGGCATATAAATGCTAATCAAAACATGTTTTAACCCGGATAAGGCGTTATAATGCGAATAAAGGCGTAATAACGCTAAACAAACGACTTTTGAACATAGAAGGACCGAAAGAGTGTGTAGCGTTATTTAAAAAATAATATTATATATATATATATATATATATATATATATATATATATATATATATATATATATATATATATATATATCCCAAAATGTCTTTTATCGCTCAATAAAATCACTGTTTGGAGTTCGGATGTGAGGAATTATATGACGTCACGAGGGCGTAGCCCGAGTGATATAATGATGCGCATCCGAACGACAAACAGTGATTTTATCAAGCAATAAAATCACCTATTTTGGATATTTTATTTCGATCCTACCTCGACATCATCAAATAAATGCTTCTAAATTGCGTCTGGGGTTTTTTCCCGTACGTACTTATTTTCAGCGCGTCGCATTTTTCTTGTGGTTGCGTCAGGTGTATAATGAATACGTCCCATGTCCAAATGAATGATTTTATTGCATAATAGCACACGTGCTATCAAGAGATTCATAATATATTAATGCACGACAGACTAGGACCGAAAGGTGATAACTGGCCCGCAAAATGAATAATGGCCCCGAGAGATTCAGCCATTATTTGTGCTATAAAGCTCTTTGATTCGGGTTTATACGCCTTTCGTTCGCTTTATAACGCCTTTTGTTCCCCCTTATAACGCCTTTTGGTTCCTGTAATAACGCCTTTACTCGCGAAATCTTGTCTTCTGTACATGACCAACTTATACAATACTACAATAACGTAGTCAAATCAGGCTAAGGCACTGAAACATGCCATAAACATTGCCTCATGAAATGGGCATACGAGTTTTCTAAAAACATGTTACATATGTGCCGGTGTTGTAAATATTCGTGACTCGATAGCCATTTTGTCAAGTTTACAATGAACCAAGTATGCATCCACTTCACGCCTTGTCCCTTGATAATAAAGAAAATGTTTACATGTTATTTTTATATTAGACAGAAAATTAAATCTTTTTTATTGTCTTCATTTAACATTCAGAAATATCTATCATATAAATTGTTTCCTTTCCTACAGTTGTTACAAACGATGTTATTTTTTGTTTGTTTTTTTTTTCCTTCTTGTTCTTCTTGCTTTTTGATGTTGTTTTTTGGGGTTTTTTTTGTTGTTTTTTGTTGTTGTTGTTTTGAAATCATACGTTGTTCATTAATATACATAATGTAATGTCCAGTTCTTTGCTTCATTAAGTACAATATTTACAATTTTACAATATTTTTGAAAGATGGAATAAAAATGAAATAAAACTTCAGTATCTTTTTAATACAAACAATTTAATAAGGATTTTTTTTACTCTGAAAATTAAAACGAGGCCAGACAGAGTAATAAAAACGATGCTCACATTGAGTTAAATAGAGAATTTTATGTGGAATTTGTGATCGGAATCTGATAACGAGGCTAAATTTATAAAATAAGTTTTGAATGATCACATGGTGTGAATGCTGGAAGTTTATTGGCGGCATTTTACAAGTTGTGCGATAATAAAGTTAAATGATAAAAAAAAATGTTTTTATTGCAATCGCTCACAGTTGAATTCTGGTTAACTGGTTAGAAACTGGTTAGAAACTGGTTAGAAATACAAACAACTTCTCACTCTTATTTCTGTGTAATCTTTAATTTGTTTAACATTCAACTAAGGTATGACAACATCATGGGCAACACTTTCGAATACAATGCTTGTTTTATTGAACTACCCACAATGCCAGGAAAAGATTCAAAATGAGCTAGATGACGTAATCGGGCGAGACAGACTTCCGACCTACGGAGATAGGGAAAGTTGTAAATACTTCCAAGCTTTTGAAATGGAGGTCCATCGTTATCTGACAGTGCTTCCCCTAGCGTTACCTCATCTATGTAAACAACATATTGATTTTGAGGGATATGATATACAAGCCAACAGCACAGTAAGCAATAACACATTCTGACATTTTTCACAAAATGTTCCTAAATGAATCTAGTGCCAACCAGTCTTTATAATTACTATGAACGGTATAACATTGCCTGTATAGTTTACTCCCGTGTACATTTTATTTTCACGTAACTGATAAATGTAGTTTAAAATCTTCATTATGATGTTATAAAGTGATTTTTTCATATGCACACATGTCAGGTATTTGCAAATGTTTGGTATGTCCACCACGACAAAGAGATATGGGGCGATCCATGGGTTTTTAGACCAGAAAGATTTCTGTCTGATAACGGAGATTTGGTTGTAATTGAACACAAATTTAGGAGGAGGTAAGCTTCAGCAAAAGATTTGATCAATTTGTTAATTCAACTTAATCACTTCTGAGTAGTGTTCATTTTTTCCATTGTACCTGAATTATAATGCAAATATTAATTTGAATTTTATTGCGGAATAAGAGCAAACTTTGTGCCTTTTCACTGTTCGTATCTAATGTTTTACATTTGTATATCTATGTATTTTTTCAAAATACTGTTAAGGCTCGTCAGTGAAAGTGTAACATTTGATTATATCTACAGTCGAACCTCTGTTACAAACTATCCCCCCAAAAAATCACCATGTATACAAAGGCCACACTTAGACACACCTTCATTAATTAAACAGAGCAGAGTAACCACCATTTAATTAAAACCATTTGCCAAAAGTTCATTTGAGGATGACCTTTGTGTACGTTTTTTTTTTCTGTACATGTATTTGTTTTGTTTATGAAATGTGTATTCATTGTCCAAGTATACGGTATTCGGTTGCGTATTATATTTGAATTTCTTATTTTACCATTTGTAAAAAGCTAATTATTTTATTTAATCCTAGTTTGATAGCATTTGGATACGGCCTACGACAATGTCCCGGGGAGATGTTTGCAAAAACACGTTACTTTCTCTACATCTCGAGCTTACTGCAACGATGGAAGTTCGAGTTCCCACCAGGGAAAGAAATACCATGTGATCCCAGAAAGACAAAAAACTTCGACATCAAGATCATGATGAGGGCGCACCCGTTTTACTGCATTGCTAAGGAAAGAGAATGACTATTTAACCACCAAAGGATTGGATCCAGCAGGATTCGTTATACACTGATAAAATAGTTATACACTAATAACAATGTTTTTTTTTTTCAATTTATACGTGTACTCACAACATATATATTCTGTAAACATGTATTTAAACACTGTATTTATATAAAATATATATCATAGACTGTTTGATTCATGTCAGTTATTTGGATAGTTTAAGTTTCAACAAGTTAAAAGATCAATGATCGAAGCGTATACTATATTTGCATCAGGTCAAGTTGTAGAACAACCTGGTGTAATTTTTTTGAAGTAAGCGAATTTTGTATGGATGTTTTATGTTTTTCACTTATATAAATTGCACAAGCTTTTTGTGCATGTAATAACCATTGCAAATATGGCAAAATCGCTAATATTTTAATACGTTAAGTAAGTGGCATTTTTATGCTTCATTTAAATAAGGTAAGGTCTAAAACTATAGATTTAGGAACATGTATTAGTCAGAGAATTCTTTGAAACTAAATTATAAAGTATATTGAGAAAATATCTGTTAACTTCACGAAACGTTTTTTGTTGTTGTTGTACTAGCGTAGCTGTATCAAAATTGTTTTTGACCTACTTATTAACCAATGGAATTGCACAAAAGTAACAAAAATTTCAGCTGAATAAAGATTATTATCATTGGTTAGTTATGAAATTTATGGGCGTTATTTGTAATTTTAGTTTCAACATCACCAAGAATAATGTTCTCATGAAATACTTATTGGCGTCCGCGCCGAAGCGCGACGCCCTTATGGAATGAAATCAGATTTTGTGAAAGGGCAATTGCAACTTTTCGAGCCTTTTCGTCGGGCAAAATAGCCGAACAATCCGATTGGTATGAGTGTTTGATTATAAAAAATGAAATGTCGCGAAATGTCAAATGAATAGCGAACTGGATAATTTCGCAATGTAAACATATTCAAATGAAATTATCTTATCCGTCAATTAATCGCGCTCTTCGATATTTTATTAATCATTTTGTAGTACACAGTTGGTTATTATGTGTGTTATTGCTTTACCTATAGAATGATGACTTGAACATTGTGAAAGTCCGAAAATCTATTTATAAAAGTAGTTTTAGCTTACCGAACGGTCATTCGTGTCGCAACGAACTTGAGAATTTTGCAGGAAATGAAATGCAAACATATTATAACAATTAATTGCAATCTTTAAGTAGGAAATTTTTGTGAATTGTTTTATCATAGTATTATAATTCTTCGTCTGCAATTTTAACATGAGTTGTTATGGGTTAATAGATAGGCATGTAGGTCAGAATAGGTCATTAAAGTAGTAGATTGACCTCCCAAATAAATCAATTAACAGACTTTGTTCATTTTGACTTTTATGTTGTATGTTCCAAAGAAAATAACACATGAACTTGAAATTCTATCAAATAACCAATATTAATGATAATTATCCAAAAATACCCCTATATAGTATAGATAAACTTATACCATATAGGGGTATATTTTGAATATTAGAGACCTGTTTATTTTGGATAGTATCGTTAACATTGATAGTGGAAAAAACATTTAATATTCAAATCTTTAGCATGCCTACCAAAGTTCATGATGAACAATGTCTTTCGTCCGCCCATTCATAAATGATATACAATACCGGATAAAACTAATTAACCATTGAAAAGTTTATTAGAATATCTGGTCATCAGATGTCTACTATTTCATCTTCACTTGCTGCATTTCTTGCTTGGACGTCCTTAAATGCTTTGCATCAATGCTTTTCTTGTTTAATTTTTAATGAAATACCATAGCAGAACAAATAGAAGAACAAATAGTTTAACAGGCAACATTATACTATGGGAGATCATTACGAGAAGATTGGAATATGCCATCACTTGTGTTATACAATCATATAGCATTAAAGCGTGCTAATGTACACTATGGGTGTTCAAAACAAATGCAACTAAATGTCAACAGGTTGGCACTTTGTACTTTCGGTTTCCATTATAATAAATATTCAATTAATGTATTCTTTTGCTTTTGTATCTTTGAATTGATAAATTGCAAATAAACTTGTCAACAACTCCCAGCATTAAATTAGGGGTGTACTACGAATATTTTTACATAAAATTTTGATAATAAATTGTTCTGTTTATATGTTAAGTTTAAATTTGGCTTCAAACCACCAACTTTTAACAGAATTAATGTGATTGATGTGGTTATAAACCAATTTTAGGTCTATCTCTAGCTATAACAATTGGTCTTGCTCGTAAAGCCAAGGCTGGTTCACAAAAAAATGACTGTGTTTTATGTTTATCTTTTCATCATAGTTGTTTGCATTTAATTAAAGATAAAACATTTATAACTAGATTAATGAGTGTTTGTTCTCCCTTATCCTTTTCTTACAAACTGCAATATTTTATATGTGATTCTTTTGATAATACCACCAATATTGCATATGTTTACACACTTAAGTAATAGAGACACCTAAATATATACTGTGAATACTGTTGTGAATACAGTTGTTCTACTTTGAAAAGAGATCAATATGCTTATAACTTAATTTCTTTGTTTACAAAATGCCCTTGTTTTTTCTCTTAGCTACAAAAAATATTATGTCATTGTTGTGCGAGCATCGCTAACAGTTATATCGAAAACTTGCATATGAAAGTTTACTAGTTTTATTTAGGCCGAGTATGTTTTTAAAGATACTTCACGTAAACAGTAAAATGATAAAATATGTAAGATCATACAATCCGGTCATTTAAACCTGCTGGGACAGAAGTCAGTTTAAATCGTACAGTATTATACTTGCTATATAATTGGACTTTCTTTGTGAAATGGGAACGTTAATGGATATAATATATATCCTCTTAGCCCTTGCTGGGTTGCTCTTTTTCATAAAAAGAAAAAAACCTAAAGGAAAAGTAATTGCAGGTCCAAAGGGTTTACCAGTGTTAGGATGTATCCTTGAAATTGACAATGAAACTGTTCATTTCAAATTTTCGGAATGGGCCGAGAAATTTGGTGACATATTTCGTGTCAAGATGTTCTCAGACAACGTGATTGTTTTCAACACGGAAGAAAATATACGGAAAGCATTTGGCAGTGAAAAGTATAAAAATCATTTCGGAGATCGAGGTGAGATGTTCTGGGGCGAGCACTTCCGGTGCCACAATCAGTCGTTAACCTTTGTTTCAGATGGATCTGGACTTTTCCATCGGATAGCCAGGAAAAGTTACATGCAAGCTTTACATACCTATGGAAGCGGACTTCAAGAGCTAGAAAATAACGTCATTACGGAAATGACTAACTTTATTGAAAGAATTAAGAAAAGATTCGGAAAAGAGTTCGAGTGTGTTTCCATGTTACAACGTTCGTTGTCTAATGTCATGTCCCTTGTGGTATGTATTTAAAATTTAATTCGTTTTTACCAGGCAAGGTAGCAAAAAAGATATCAAATGTGCATTTATTGCAAAGGAAAATGATGATTAGAATATATCTTCTAAGTCTTTTGTAGGTCTGGGATGAAATAAAAACAACAATTTACAGAGGTAAAAATTGTTCTTTATACGTATCGTACAGAACGCATGGTCCAAAAGGTCCAAAAGCCTAAAAACATAAAATTTCAAAATATGTCATGCATCAACTGGGGCACTTAAACGAAAATGGATGCAAGAGGTGATTAAAAATTATCTCAAATTTATATTTGAAATCGTAATTTTATGCAATTCGTAGCTCGTTCGTTTATACGCTTTTCATTTTTGGGTTGATTCCACAATTAAACTTATCATTCCTAAAATAGTGTAAGCGAATTTCGACATTGTATCCCTAAAGTTTTGGTCCAGACTTACATCAATTGTATATAAATCTTGCTACCTAAGAAATGAGAGAAAAAAATAAAGAAAGGAAAATGCGTTAGGAAATAAATGAGATTATGATACTTTGATTTAAAAGTGCAGGTATAAATAATCGATTAAATAAAAAAACGTCTTATGATAATGTAGTTTTTTTATATGAATAAAACTGGAGGGAAGAAAAACAACAACAAAAAAGCCTTCTTCTGGCATGAAGTCGGTCCCTCAGAACTCTTCCCTCAGAACTCAGTGCTATACCGAATGAGCTATTGCGACATTTATTACTCTTATTTACAATAATCAGTCAAAATGTGCAATCAAAAAGTTTCATTCTGTGAGAACTTTATGTGGGCTGCAAAATAGTCAATTTGAACATATTGCACCATTGTTATAAGTTCGTTGTTACTAACAACGAAAACCTAAGAAACAAAATTTACGGAAAAGTTAGTGAATTATTGACTTATTGCTCTACATCTTAATGAAACTTTATGCCTTTTCTTTTGATAATATCGAGTTTACATGTGATTAAATTATCTTCAATCTATAATACTGCCAGAAGTGATGTGTTACATTGTATTTCACAGTTGCGAGGAGAGTTGATTCCCGACTCTGATCCAGATAGCAATATGTTTTGGGATCATGTTCATGCAAACGATTTCTTTCTGAATCCGTACGTCAATTTTGTGATGTCCACGTTCCCTTTTCTTCGATTCCTTCCAGGAAAATATGGTGATGAGTTTAGAAAATGTAAAAAGGCGAACGCTAAAATAGCCAATAAATATTTCTATGATATGAAGGTTTGTGCTTTATCAATTATTATCTGTAACATTTATTAAGTACTCCGTTTTAAAACTTGGAGATTACTTCTATCTTCCAAAATATGCATATATAGTTTAAAATGTGTCACAAGGTCAATGTCAGAGGTTGTCTAAATATATCACTCAGACATCAGGTTTGAGTACATAGAAATATTGTTTTGTGTAAAAACATATAATATATATATAAATCATTTAATTGTATTGCGAATGTTTTTGTGTGTTTTATGTGTTTTTATTCATTTATTTATTTATTTATTTATTTATTTTTAATGCAACATTGAGATTTTTGATTGACTTTCTATTTATATACATAAAAATGTCAATTACAATGACATTACGTCCAGTCTAAACACAAATTATCTAGGTCACTATGACGTCCTTTTGTAGATTATTTACCTACATTTTACTAGAGATGTGTTTTTCATTTGATGCAGTCTGACCTATAGTCTCAATGTCTCAAATCTTTAATTTTCAGTTCAGTTCATATGTCCGAATTATATAATGGATTCTTTCTTTGTACTTAGAAAACGTATAGGCCGGGTCTAATGCGAGGCCTTGTAGATCATTTCCTTGAAGAACAGGAGAAGCAAATGCACTCGGACACAGGATTATTCTTCACTGATGAGAGAATTATTGCTCAAATTGTGGAGACTATAGATGCAGGTTATATAAGTTTAAAATATTTCATAAACTTCACTCCACTTTGAAGAAAAAAAACGTTTTTAAATTGAAATAAATGTTTTGAACATTTATATTCTATTGTATTTCAAGTTCTGCTGTGCTGCACTATATTGCGGCGTTTGTAATAATATGCATTTCGCTCACATAAAGTATGTTGTCAATATAAAACCTATCTCCATTCTTATTCGTTTCGTTTATGGGAACAATGAACTTTCTTTTCAACTGTCACACGGTGGTGTAAGAAATTTAAAAGTTGTGTGGATTCAGTAAAAGATGCACTTTATGCACGCCGTCCGAAAACTGCAACTTTGCAAAAAAAGGTTGAAAAATTAAAATATTTGATTGCTACTGGTGCAAAATTTACAACTAGGTATTTAGATAAATGCGTTGGTATCTCTGTAGGAGTCGCTCATACAATTCTCAGACTTGATTTAAAAATGAGAATGTTAAGTACCAGATGGATACCCCATCTCCTTACAAAAGAGCAAAAACTTGCTCGGGTAAGAATCTCCAAACAATTGTTGAAACACTTCCCTTAATACAACAAGCAATCTTTTGCAAATATTATCACTGGCGATGTGACGACGAGGGTTCACTTTTATGAGCCCATGCAAAAGATACATAAACGAAATATGGGCAACCAAAGGAAGACAAAGACACTGCGTAGCAAAACGCACAATGAACCTCAAAAGGTCATGTATGTAATTTTCCCCTGCTATTCAAATTGTCGTACCAAGCGGTAATTCTGTAAATGCCAAGTTTTACAACGGCAATATCCTTCAGAAATTAAAGAAATATTTCAAAAACTGTTGACCAGCAACTGGTCTCCGTGGTGTCAGGTTATTGCATGACAATGCTTTGTCACACAAAGCGGCCATTGTGGGAGAAAATCTGAAACAGGTTGTCGAGCTTCGATCTCATCCTCATTAGACATATCTTGCTCCTTGTGACTTTTCGTTATTTCTGAGGCTAAAAACACCTTGCTGAAAGAAAATATCAAACGCGAAAAAAATTCGGTTCGGCTTTTTTCCAGGTGTGAACACTATACCTCGAAAAGATTATGATAACGTATTTAAAATTGTATCTAAAGACTAAACCTTTGTATATCACATGGTGGTGAGTATTTTGAATGATTTCGATCATTATTTTGACACTGTTTGTTAAGCACTTCTGAAAATAAACCCCGTGACATTCATATTTGGACACCCCTCATACATGATGTAACAGTGAAGTTCTTCTTTTGATTCATATAGGAAAAAACTCAACTGATATGTAAAGTTCAGTTGAATTTTTGCACCTTGTATATATCAGTGTAGTTCGTTTACAGAGGTTTTAATGTGGTAGGGGTATAATACATTTACAGTTGCAAAACAAAACATAGCTGAAAGGGCACACGAGAGGGAATTCACTGAACATAGTTATTGTTTTCTAATTTCTGTTAGAAAAATATTTATGAAATTGAGATAAAACAGTTATAGTATATGAAAGTTGTTAGTAACGCATGTTTAACACTGACTAGGGCAACATCTCGGAAGGTTACTGCAAAATAATTGTCTTTGCTTAACAACCCAGACATTATTTTAAGCATGTCGGGGAAGTCAGTGTTATATCTTCGTAACTTACTCGTTTCATATACTCATATCTTGTTATTACTTCTGTAAACATGGTACAAAATACCCAAGAAATCTCTATCTTGTGAATGATATTGCAGTATTTCAATTTTAAAGTATCGTATGGAGCTATTGTCTTTCTTTGTTGGCGATTTCATATCAGGTCTTTCCATATGTGCTTTTTACTATAACAAGATCCCTATTGCAATTTAATTACCTTTAAATCTTAAGCAATGTTGTTCAAATAAGTCCAGTCGATTGAATACATATACCAAATGACAAAAAAGGGACTTTTAAAATTCAATTTTCAAAACTCATTTGTCTGAAATGACGAAGTCCAGAGCGTTGGTATGTGGTTTATAACAACACCTAGAGGTCCTTTACCAAAGTTGGTCAAATTTTATCTCTATGGTCATAGGTGGCTCGCGGTTCATGGGTTTTCCTTTTAAGTATGTAATAAAAAATTCTAAAGGCTAAATCTTAAATATTTGGTACGAAGCACTTTCTAGTGGACCTTACCCAAGATCATTCAAATTATTATGTTTTTGTTTTCAAAATTGGAAGGGTCACAGGTTTCCCCTAAATTTTTATTATACTTTGTTTCTTCAGTATTTATTCATGTATAAAACAAACACAGTATGCTTTGTTTGATAGTTTATGATTTCATCATTAATATATTCACATACATGAGTACTATTGGTAAATATGCATACATGACTACTAGCTATTGGTAAATAACATGATAACACATATCTACTAAAAAGTTGAACTATTGTCATTGCATATATCATACGTATATAATATCTGTTGCTTTAGACTTATCTAAGTGTTAACAATTCTAGTTATAAACTAGATCTACATACTAAATAAAAAAAACAACTTTAACAACTTTTCTTATTTATCGCGATTTTTTTCAATTTGACAGAGTGCAATATAACATCAGTCACAGTGTTGCTACATTTATGTAAATATATCAAAAAATGTCATTACAATTTACATTACTATTTGCATGCTTCATGGGTTATATACTTTCTCACATCATTAAATTGTAACAAAACTTTAAAATCTACATAATTATTTTTTTCAAAAATGAACAATTTAATAAACAAAATAACCTGATGATGTGACATTATTTGTCAAAAAACATTGAAATGACTTTTTCATGTTGACTGAAACTTCTGTAATGCGATTACGCTTATCTAAAAAGGGCTCATCAGTGTTACGGTGTCATTTTCGAAAATTAAATCGCCAATTTATTTATTTTGAAAGTATATGGAATTGCTTTTTCTAAATAAAATGTAGTCTTAATGTCGCTTTAAATAAATTAACTAGTTTAACCAATTTTGTCCACACTTAAATGCTGATGATTGATAAGAAATACAAATATATTCTCACTCTTATTTCTGTGTTATATTCAATTTGTTTAACATTCAACTAAGGTATGACAACATCATGGGCAACACTTTCGAATACAATGCTTGCTTTATTGAACTACCCACAATGCCAGGAAAAGATTCAAAATGAGCTAGATGACGTAATCGGGCGAGACAGACTTCCGACGTACGGAGATAGGGAAAGTTGTAAATACTTCCAAGCTTTTGAAATGGAGGTTCATCGTTATCTGACAGTGGTTCCGCTAGCGTTACCTCATCTATGTAAAGAACATATTGATTTTGAGGGATATGATATAGAACCCAACAGCACAGTAAGTAATTACACATTTTTCACAAAATTGTCCTAAATTTATCTGGTGCCAATAAGTCTATATATTATGAAATGTATAACATTGCCTGTATAGTTTTCTCCCATGAACATTTTATTTTATATTAACGTAACAGATAAATGTAGTTATGATGTGATGTAGTGACTTTTCATTTGCACACATCTTAGGTATTTGCAAATGTTTGGTATGTCCACCACAACAAAGAGATATGGGGCGATCCGTGGGTTTTTAGACCAGAGAGATTTCTGTCTGATAACGGAGATTTGGTTGTGATTGAACACAAATTTAGGAGGAGGTAAGAAAAGGTTTGATATTCATGGGAATCACATAGAATAGGTTAGTTTAAATTATATTATTAAAGCTACATTTTCAATCTCGACGTACTTGTATGACAGTTTCTTTCAACTTAAACACTACTGAGTAGTGTCCATATTTTTTTCATTGTACCTGAAGGTATATAATTCAAATATTTTTTTAATTGAATTGAAGAGCGAACTGCAATGTATGTGCCTATTTCAACGCTCGTTTCTAATGTATCTATGCATTTTTACAAGATACTGTTAAGGCTCGTCAATAAAGTTACGAATTTGTAACGATTAATTAGATCTACAGTCGAATCTTTGTTAAAAATCACCTGAAAAAAAAGGTCATTTTAGGTCATTTTAAAGATGGCCTTTGAGTACCTTTTTTTTCTGTACATGTATTTGTTTTGTTTATAAAATGTGGTATTTATTGACTCCTTGAACAGTTCTATGGTATCCGGTTGTGTATCATATTTTGCAATTCTTTACTTCCGTTTATAAAAATCTAATTGTTTTATTTAATCCTAGTTTGATAGCATTTGGATACGGCTTACGACAATGTCCCGGGGAGATGTTTGCAAAAACACGTTACTTTCTCTACATCTCGAGCTTACTGCAACGATGGAAGTTCGAGTTCCCACCTGGGAAAGAAATACCATGTGACCCCAGAAAGACAGAAAACTTCGACATCAAGATCATCATGAGGGCGCACCCGTTTTACTGCATTGCCAAGGAAAGAAAATGACTAATTAATTTATTAAAGGATTGGTTAATGATACACAAGATCCAGATGGAATATTTATACATTTTACGTAAAAAACTCTAAAAACAAACATAATATCTGTAAACGTGAATTTTAACACTGTATTTATATTTTAACCTATAGCTCTTCAGCGCTTCTTATGTAAAATTCTTCCAAGTATAATTTCCAATAACCGTAAATTATACCATACCCAGACTATGGTATAATTTTCAGTTTTGAAGATCGAAGGAGTAAGTGTTTCTGGGCAGAGCTATAGGTTAAAACAGATACACCATTGGTGCGTTGACGATTTCTGGGTTTGCGTAAATTATACCATAATCACGTGACCTTTCTTATGCAACCTCACTTGACTTCGTCTCGTGAGGTTAAGGCATAAGAAAGGTCACGTGATTATGGTGTATTTAACGCAAACCCAGAAATCGT